ATGACAGATGACCGTAACCGTCGAAAAATCGCATTTTTTCATTTTAGTAACGCTTAAAGAATGTCTGATAGAAGTGCGTAGGAATGGAAAGAGTCTCACCTGATGAAATACACTTGGTTACAACTTCTGGGAGAACATGGAAAGTGCCCTGTGGAACAGATATGCCGTACATGGAGCAGCAAACCTGCTCAAGTTTGATGCAAAATTCCTGACCGAATGTTGATGTGCACGTTAACAGAACCCACTCTGAAATCGACCTTTTTTTTCATTCTCTATTCAGCTGCTAATTTGAGATGTTCGTATTTTTTCATGTCACTGAAAACAATTAGCCCTTGCATGATTTACTCTCAAATTGTCTGGTAGATTTCCTCTGAATTGCAAAACACTTTACAGTATAAAGCATATTATGACGGCTGAACATACGAGTGGTTATGCAAGTCCTTCCATCGTTGCCTAACGCTAAGTTGCCATTCATACTCGGTATTTTGCAACCCGTGACCCATGTTGCGCAGTTTTCACTGCCGTATCGAGCATTGCATACGGCAATAAACTTTTCTGCAATTGTGACTCAACTTTGAAATCATCCTGGGTCTTAGCAAGAAGCCAAAGTTTATTCCTGAACAACTTGAAACGGCATGGTTAAGCACTTCCAAGCACTTGCGAATAGTTCATGGTTTCCTGATTTTTCGCTTTCATCAAGAGAAGAAGTACAGGAGATTTTTCCCGTCAACATTTTGATGAAAATCAACATCATTGATAGGTATTTCGAAATACATTTCAATATGGGTTTAGATGAAATCAGAAATGAGATGAAAATGATTTCTCGCTGTGATCTCGCAGCAGAAGTGAGTACGCATCTGCTATTTACTGTTACTTACTGTTCTCTATGCATTGCTTCTCGTCCTCCGTGAATTGTCCTATAGGGCTTTGAACGCCGCATTCCTCTTTCCAAGCATTGCACCATTTGGGAGAGTATTCCACATAACAAATTGCCAAATAGTATTCTACAATGGGAAATTTTTGATGAGGTATGTGAACAACACTTCACACTTTATGATTTTTGAGTGAGTTCATCAGTATTTTTTCATTTCCATCTCCTTCATACATGTTCAGCTGAATCATTTTAATAATTGAGACAGTGCAGGTGTGTGTCACCGTAATGTGATTCAGTGATGTGAACTGGGGAACACAATTGATATACTAATGAAACTACCTGAAGCTATACATCTTGATATGGGCATCGGAAGTACATACTCATCACCAACCATCTGTTGTGGTATGGGAGTGTTCGTGAGCTCTGAACAAGCTGATCCGAGCCTGTTGCAAAATGCGGCAAGGTGCCTTTCTCTGCATAACAACACAACATCTTCTGCAATTCAAAATAGATCCGCATTTGATAATGAAAACATTCAGTAACATTCAATGAATACAATCCCTGATTGTTGAGGAGAATAAAATTTCTAGGCGGACGATAGAACATGCAATCGCTGAGCAACAATCGGTCTACAGTATTCCATTTTGGAACACTATTGGTGTCCTTAATCGTCCCAAACAATTCTCGAATGAGCATTCCATACTACGAGGGTGCCTTCAGTTGCACATCCTTTCTGATCATAACCCTAGCGGCTGACAAGATACGGCGGCTCAAAATTTTTGCTGTTCATAAATTCAACAAGTAGGCATAGAAAACTGTTCCAATATTAGGCAACGAATTTTACCTCTTTGCGCTAGAACAAACGTCGACAAGCAGAATACTAAAAGTATTGCTTCGTGTAACATGGTTTCGCTTGTATCTGAAATTAAAACTGAAACCGGTCAAAGAGGAATTCTATCAAGCAGATATGAAGGAGCATCTTGAAGAAATATTGGTTGTTTTTATGCATCAAGAAGAGTTAGTTTGCACGCGAAAATATTTGATGTCAACAGTGCTGAAATGAAGTGCTCTAAGCTTCCAAATCACTCAAGTTTGGTGGTAAGTAGGAAAACAATGAGAACTGTTGGAATGCTGACAATGAGTGCAATGTTCTGCTTATCATCTCAACATAGTTTTTCATCATTATAGTTTCACTGTTTTTCAGTTCGTGAACAACGATTGCAGATTTCAAACTTTTTGATGAAGTCTGTCTACCTTATGTGCTCAAGCACTGACGTCTGTCTACCGAACTTTTGTTTTGTACGAAATGTATATCACTTTCTCCGTTGTTGGTTTGCACGCTGAAATATCGAAATCGAAGTTAATCGTCTTATATTGGAAGAGAAGACAGGAACATTTAGCGAATTCGAATCATTCACGTTGAATACATTTATGTTCACTGCATGTCGCAACGTCAATGAACATTTCATCTAACACCTGCGAGAAATAGAGCCAAAGTATCAAATATTTTGAAAATGCGACCAAATGATTAGATAATTGCCAGTGTTATGACTTTGAACGACATTCTGATAAAGGAGTGTGGTTTCTGTTATCACCGAAAGATTGCCATGAGAACTGAGACAAGTCATGAGTTTGATTATTACACATTCCAATCTACGGTAATCACGTTGGCGGAATAGAAGACAACACTGTTCTGTGCTTTACATATTATTTCAGCATGAGGCTCTCAAGCTATCGGATGAAATCAAGTGATCATTCAACTTATCGCACAATCTCCATCCACAAATTCGTTCAAAAATTATGCGGATAAATATTGTGATGCGAATCAATGCTGAGAGATTTAATCGTGAAGATCAGCACCAAGTTTCATAATCATGTAATGAAGCGTTATCTTTTACATACAATCGGGCCGCAATCAATTATCGCAGATCAGTGCGTTCAATTGGTCTTCAAAGTAACGAAAGAAAAAAAGAGTGAATTTCACAGCCGAATGATACGCTAGCATGAGCAGGGTCTGATTCAGAGGGACGTGATCTGAATGACAAATAAGTGATTATTGTCAAGGATTAATAACGGAGACTTGCTTTATTTTTGTCAGTTTCGTGCTGGATTTATTTTGTAATCCGATTGATGCTGTTGACGTTTTATGTTTTACATATGCTACGTCAGACTGTTTTACATATGTACTTCAGTCAAATGTCCTTTCATCTGATGCAGGGATTTTGAAAACTCATACCACCTAATCAGTGAGAAATTGTCGCCGAAGTTAAAATTGACAATGTTTTTCAGCCCTCGACGTTACCTAAACAATAATTTCATCAAAACCTTAATCAGATATTGCAGATTCGATGTAGACATTGAAAGGGATCGTTCATTGCGAACTGTTTTATGCATGAGACGAATGAGATCATTCAGAGAATTGTTTTGAACTAGTCAACCTTTATAATATGTAAGATTTCTGCAGTTAAAACAAAAATTGAATGTCACAAACAAACATCTATTATCGAGGGCGATGTTCTACGAAGTAAACGATTTCGAAAATGTCCTGACTAAAGCTCGCATGACTCGATCAAGTATTGGTATATTACTATTGATATCACTGACAACCAAATCCATTGATTAAACCAGCTCCACTTTATGGTAACACAGCCTTTCCACTCATTACGCTTCTGCTTCTCATAACAAACATTGTAAATGAAAGTCACGAACACTTCATCGTTATCGGAGCCAATAAACACCGGCCGTATTCAGATTCAGTGCAGAGGTCAGTAATAAGATATTCTGTATATGAATCTTTGACAACGTCCGTTCTTTTGGCATCAAAAATTCATCCATCCTATTCGATTGGAATGTAAAAACGTTCGAAATATTGGTCGGTAGGCTTTAGTGCATATTTGTCGGCGGCATGTTGATTTTAATATCATTAACAATTCCGGTGAACACAGAAAAAACTGGTTAAGAGTTTGGGTCATTGTTGGGAGAGAAACGTGCATTGCGAAGTGAGATCATTTATCCGTTTTTTTTTCAGTTGAAATTGCGTGCAAAAATTGAATGAAAGAGTGAATTTTATTTTAGACTGACTATTTTTTCATTATCAATTTATGAACATTGTGAATAAATACATCACATAAAATCAAAATCATGTGGTTGTGTTTGGCCGCTTCTCTGATGCAATGATAATGTCGTTCGAAATAACCTGCAAACAATATCGACATGAGAATCATCTTGAATACCAACAACGCCACCATCTGTAGTAAATCTCTAACTTATTATCAGTTACCGTCAGCAATCTAAAAGGAGCTGTTGAGTGTCCCTTCTCTTAGGAATCAAATGACTTACTGCGAAAAAGAAAAATGACTTTCGCGGAAAACGTTTTAAAAAAGAAAGGATGTAGTTGCTCTCAATAACTCCGTTACATGTCACGCGCTTCCTGCTTTATCGGAAAATCTTGCCGCTATGATAATCTGCTTTCCTAACATTAGGAAATACTTATTCAACTGACTTCACTGCCACAAAGGACAGGAAGATTTCAAGCACGGAGGCTGAACGGAATACAATTATATGATTATCCATAAAGAACGGACATCAAGATCTGTTAAATCGCATACGGCTAACTAGGCACAGCAAACAATTAAACAGTAGATGACACAGAAATTTCCTTGCAATATCACTTCGTAATTATTTTAACAGCTTCAACCCTCACCTAACCGTTTACCCAATAAGTGCAGTACTTCATTTTCATGTCACTACGAACAGTAACTCTCTGATAGAAAGAGAATTAAAATATGCAAAAATTCCATCATTATTACCTTGATAGATGGCGGCGACTGTTTGGTACTTTGATCACTTCGATTTTTGGTTACTTTGCTGCGATTTTTTTCGCCTTCAAAATTCTGAAAACAATTCGCTTATGCACTCCGAAAAAGGAAATTTATACAAGCAGATTAAAAAGGTTCACTGCGTCGGTTTGATGATATTCCTTCGGTTTGTTAGCGATTCGTTCTGCTGATCAAAATTCAGAACATATTCACTGTATCATCTGTGTTTTGTATTGTGCATTCGTTGAAATGCCCTGCTATCGAACAAAAAAGGGCAGTGAGATTTTGTACGGAAACTATGTGACGTAACTGTCATTATGCGATTGACCGAATCTGCATTGTCCCACCAAATTCAGAGGCCTTTAAGAACATCTGAACATTGGTAATTCAACTAGCACTGGAAAATCATAGTCAAGGAATAACAAGAAAGTCTTTATGACATTTCTAGTAGTTCTGAATGAGTTAGGTGAAATAAAGTTGGATTGATATAGGAATTGCTGTGTCCAATAAAAGTTCTATATCAGTTCAACAGATATGAAACAGAGACCATCGATGTTCGTATGCCGGATGTGTTATTAAAAACCGCTAAAAAATTTAAAAAGCACAATACCTTATGAATGAAGTGACAACACCAGAATGCTGCACTGGTCGAAAAGGACGCAATCATCATGATGTTGTTTGGAGTAACATCCGATCTGACTGCCAACAAATAAGACTGATAAACGATCACAAGGGCACATCGAAATATCTCCAAATATTCAGCATAATATCTGAACTATTCTAATCATAAATTCACTGATTAATTCGCACATCATTTTTATACACAGCTGTACTAAGACATAACAAGAAATTCGCTTCGTGTTGAATATTGAATATGTATCAATTCGATAAATTCACCATACTAAACCAGTTAATTTGTTGCTTTTCATCAGAGCATTATCACTTCGACAACATTTTCTATCAAAGGCTCAAAATGGACCGAAAAATTTTCCAAATCCAATATGAAAGAATCTTCCGCCAGTATTTTTTTCTTCACATCCCTTAATATTGTTACACACATTATTCACTGTTCCCTTCAGATGCTTAACATCATCACAAGATAGTTTTTTTTTTCAATGAGAATGGTCGAGGAACAGATAAATTGAGAAAGAGAAGGTGTACCTGGTAACCACAGAAAATCACATTTCATTAAATTGAAAAAATCATTGACTTAATTTCTACTTGACGGAACAGGAACACAATATGCTACAAATCAGGATTCCTCAACCAGATGTGCGAGGTAACATCTCATTTTTCATACATTAAAGTGGGTGATGGCNATTTATTGTGAGTTTTTGCAAATATTACTTTTTTCTTTTTTGGAATGATCTTTTCTAGGTTGCTAAGAATAAATAACAAAAAATTCTTCCGGTTGCGTTTACTTTTGCTCGCAAATAAATATGGCTGTGAAGGCTGTTAGGACATTTTGGAATTCATTAGGGAATGTGCGCAAAAAAATGCTGGGAGCCGTTGCTGGAAATCAGTTAACGTGCAAGTAAATCAACCAACTGAACTGATTACATTTACTAGATATTTATCTTGTTTGAGGCTTTCTCCTAGTAATAAGCCCAGTACTACCAACGATGTCCATACAACTACACTACCATAGAAAAGAGCAGCTTAAACGAAACAACTACGATTTTGGTTTCCTTCACCACGAACCAATTTCTCTGTTTACTCAACTTGAACTTGAACAGAATAATGTGCTCATTTTAAAATCAGACTTTTCATCGGTCTCTTTCTATATTTTTATTCTTTAAACCACGGACTTTTAATCGGAGTCGTTGATTGCATCAGTGTATTGCTAGCATGGAATTTAAATTAGAGAGATGTGTTAAAGTGCAGTAAATGACAAAGCGGGTAGTGAACGAAACAAAGAGAGCGAAAGCGCTCCATATGTTGAATAAGTAACTTTTGAACTCTCGCCTTACGCAGAAAAACAGTGGAAAATTTTTGGTTCTTTTTTAACTCTCGGTGACGTTTGATTAGGAGAAATTTCGTCATTTTGTGTTTGGTTGGATTTGATAGAAAAATGTCCGACATTTTGG